CACATTGGTGGTGGTGATGGCTGATGCAGGCGGCACAGGTGGGGGTGTGACATACGGCTGCAGCTCTGGGTAGAGCCCCCTCCCCATGGGTGCTAGCTGGGCTCCTGCTCCCATGGCTGCCTCCATGCCCCACCTTGACCGCATCACGGCCGCTGCATATGAGGGCCCTCCCCCGTTTGAGGGGCCTGGATGGCCCGGGGCAGCTACAGGCTGTGCAGTACGGCCCTGCCATCGCATTTGCTATAGCTGCTGTGTCTGGTGCGCCAGCTCCTTCTGTGGTGGTGCTTTGCACGGCATAGTGAAGGGTCCCTCCTGATCGGTCCGTTTCAGTCTGGAAGCCCTCAGTATGCCGGACCTGGTTACCACCCCCGCCCTGCCGAGTTCGTAGTGTTTTTCACCCGGTAGACCGGGGGTGTCCTGCGCCAACTTGACTCGCCAGGTGTCTGCCATCAGAGTGGGATTCAGCTCATGGATGTCTGATTCATCCCACCGGAACCACGGAGTGGAGTAGCAGACGGCAAGGAAACCAGGGATGGCTCTGGGATCCAGGTTGGTGGGAATCCCCTTGATCTCCCAGTAGGGCCGTTCCGCCTTGTACAGGTTCGTGATGGGTAGCTCCATTTCCACCGGGGGGCTGCTGGGTAGGAGATGGACTGGCCCCAGCTGAAGCCGTCCTCTCCGGACTGTTGGCGAGGTGGTAAGCATTGCGAGACCACCTTTCCGGATCAAGATGCTGATTTCTTGCACCTTCACGCCGCTGGGGAGTGCCCGTTGCGGGCATTTGCTGATTCGCGGCCCGAGCAGCCCCTCTGCCTCTACGGGCGGTATTATCGCCCGTAATCTGTTTACAATGGCCTTGCCCACTGGTCCATGTAGCTGGGCTTGTATGTCCGCGGGGTCGGAACCGGCCGGCCAGTGGATTTCCATGGTAACCTGGTCCTGTTCCATATAAAGTGGGGTTCCTTCTGAAATCGTGTCCATTATTATGTCGGTGTCCACATACTTTCGTTCCGCTTGGGCGCGGCTTGGTTGTGGGCGAGCAGCTGGGGCTGTCGCCCGTCCATTTGAACGTTCCTTTGGCGCGGAGGTCCGCGCCTGCCCATTTTCTGCCATTCTGGCCTATATTAATTCAAGCATATTTTTCGAGAGTTCTCCGTTTTTGCCGCGGTCGGCGAGGTCAGCCATAGGCAGTTCGCGGTCGCGTTTTAACGAATATTACATTTGCTTTGTTTGTTGTTGTTGTTGTTGTTGTTGTTCTTGTTACAAGGTCGTGGGTGCGTTCCCCGTACCTGCAAACCACCCTAATACGAGCCGAGGGCTCAATCTTTTCCGTTTCGGCAAAATTGTTGCTCAATCTTTTCCGTTTCGGCATGCCGTCTCACGCTACCAAACGCGACGCGGGATCCGGTATCGGAACTGACATTTCCATCCTTTTGAATCAGTTGCTGCTATCCTAACTTTAACATTAGAAATTCGTACATCCCTAGCTGGCGACGTGCGGAACCCGACCTAGTGCAGTGACGCTACTGGGATCGCACCATGAGTGCAGCAACGTCTTCCCGTCGCCAGACACCCCAGCTTTGGAGGTCGCTTGCACACAAGAATTGCAGCAAGCGGCACTCAGAGCCAACCTTTTGGTGGTCTCGTTTACCACCATAATCAGAGACCGGTCGAGGACAGAACTGGAGGGACATACCCGGCCATTGCAGAAATCCCTCTACCAAGCACTCCTACCCCTCCTGCACTCGGCAATTGCCAACCGCCGGCAGATGCCAGGTACAGCTGGCGGGGAGCGTATATCCAACTGCGCGGCGGGGCTATCTTTAACGTATGACCTCGCCATCCCCCAGCAGCAACGGCACCAGCTCATCAGCCTCCTAGACACACGCAGTCAACTGCGTACCACCGTGGCCGGCCACACACCGGTCTGGTGGGTTGCCAGGGAGGGTCCATACTATGTGATACCACAACCGCTACAAATCCTTACCCATGGCTGGCCGCTCGGCCTGACGGAAAGCGCGGTTAGGGGACAACTATCTAAGTTACTGCCGGCAGACGTAATCTTAGGAGTTTCCCCATGGTACCACTACAGAGTCCACTGCCCTATACCGGCACTGGACAAGTGGATCATATCCCTTCGATCTGGATATCGCCTCCCTAACGACCTGCCATGCCGCTGGCATGTTAATGGCGCGCTGGACTTCGTCGTCCTGGCCACGCCATTTGAGACGGAAGCATACCAGACGCAAAAATCAGCAGTAGCACACATTGCGGCACGAACCATGACTACTGCTGGACCAAATGACGACATCACCACAACCGTACGTGCGGAATCCTCGTACGCCGCTGCCACAGCCACGCAGCAAAGGGAGGGGCCAACACTTACCACTTTGCACCAACAACCACTGCAGCAACAAGCTATGAATGGCGACGTTGCTGCCTCACCTCAACAACAGGCAGGCGCTACCGCTGTTGGCCGACGGGTCGCACCCGCTGCTGCCGATGGGCAGCGGCAGGATGCCACCGTTGAATCCATTCAGCGGGAGCCCAATCCAGCGGACACAGCTCAGCAAGAGGCAGGCGACACCGCTGTGGGTCGACGGACCGCATCCGCTGCTGCCGTTGGGCAGCGACAGGATGCGATCGTTCACACCATTCAGCGGGTGCCCCTGCCAGCGGACACAGCTCAGCAAGAGGCAGGCGCTACCGCTGTTGGCCGACGGGCCGCACCCGCTGCTGCCGATGGGCAGCGGCAGGATGCGATCGTCCACACCATTCAGCGGGAGCCCAATCCAGCTGCCCCAACTCAACAAGAGGCAGGCGACACCGCTGTGGGTCGACGGGCCGCATCCGCTGCTGCCGTTGGGCAGCGGCAGGATGCGATCGTTCACACCATTCAGCGGGTGCCCCTGCCAGCTGCCCCAGCTCAGCAAGAGGCAGGCGACACCGCTGTGGGCCGACGGGCCGCACCCGCTGCTGCCGTTGGGCAGCGGCAGGATGCGATCGTTGAATCCATTCAGCGGGAGCCCAATCCAGCGGCCCCAGCTCAACAAGAGGCAGGCATTATCGCTGTGGGTCGACGGGCCGCATCCGCTGCTGCCGCTGGGCAGCGGCAGGATGCGATCGTTCACACCATTCAGCGGGTGCCCCTGCCAGCGGACACAGCTCAGCAAGAGGCAGGCGCTACCGCTGTTGGCCGACGGGCCGCACCCGCTGCTGCCGATGGGCAGCGGCAGGATGCGATCGTCCACACCATTCAGCGGGAGCCCAATCCAGCTGCCCCAACTCAACAAGAGGCAGGCGACACCGCTGTGGGTCGACGGGCCGCATCCGCTGCTGCCGTTGGGCAGCGGCAGGATGCGATCGTTCACACCATTCAGCGGGTGCCCCTGCCAGCTGCCCCAGCTCAGCAAGAGGCAGGCGACACCGCTGTGGGCCGACGGGCCGCACCCGCTGCTGCCGCTGGGCAGCGGCAGGATGCGATCGTTGGCATCATCCAGCGGGAATCCCAGCCAGCGGTCGCACCTCAACACGATTCCCTCATTATCGCCGCTAGCCAATGGGACGCGATTGTCGACGCCGCTGAACAGCGGCTGGACGCTACACCCCCCACCATGCGGCAAGAACTTCAGACAACTGCCAAAGCGAGAAGGGACAGCCCATCGCAGGCAGACCTGGCAACGCTGGAAGCGGACCGGCCATATACCACGCGCTCAGTTCGACGCAGGACCTTGTCACGGGACCTGTCCTCGGAGAGTGCCGAAGATGATGCACCTATGCAAAATGCCTACGACACGTTATCACCTCTTGTAGACCTCCAGCTGGAAGGCTTCCCACTCGCCAACACCTGGCCGGAGGCACTACAATCCCTTTACTCCCTTTCGGGCACTGGCCCGGACATGGACCTGGACCTTATGTAATGCCCAGGAATCGCCACTCGAACAGGCGGGCCGTGCAACTTCTACGCATTGGCTCCCACAACGTTCGCAGCCTCCTGGGATCAGGGTACAACAACGCATCCGAACGCACAGCCCAACTCATCCGTCAATGGGCTAGGCAAAGGCTGGATATCGTCTGCCTCCAAGAAACAAGGGTAACGGCTCACCGTGTGCCCCAGGCACGAACGATACTCCACAACCTGTCTCGGGTGTTTCACCTGGGCCAGTGGGTATCCTGGTGGGACCCTGCGTTGGATAGCCGGCGTGGAGGCGGAACAGCAATCCTTATACGCAGCGCACTTCTCACCAATGTGCAAACTTAAATATGTGGGTAAATAACACGGCAGAATCAGCCCCCACGCACCCGGACGACCTCATCCAATGGTGGCCAGGCTTCAAACGGGCGCTGGCCCTATCAGCTGGCCGCCTAAACCAACAGGCACGCATGCGTCAGCTAATTGGAGCTGCAGACGAGGCTGCTGCCCAAGCCCAGGCCGACAGCGTCCTGGCGGAAGCGGAGGAGGGGGACGCTTCGGCTCTTCCACGGGCGGTTCTCGCCAGGTCGGCTCAGGCAGATGCGGCACACCGGGCTGTAGCAGGCGTCACACGACGCACCCGTTACAATTGGATACGTACAGGCGAACGACCTAGCCCAGCACTAACCAACCAACTTAGGCCACCCTTAGCAACCCGCAGAATCACTGCCCTACGAAGGCCTAATGGTACTCTGTGTAGCAATTTACAACAGCTTCCTAATATCATGGCGGATTATTGGCAACAAATAG